TTGTTGCTTGGGCATTACCACGAAAGCCATTACCAATCTTTGAAAATGATAAATGAAAGGGATTAACATTTAGTGACTATCATTATCATGCTGGTGATTATCAAGCTTACGTGAGGGATCATTACTGTCTACTATGGGTGGTAGGTGTTTATGTACTGATGGCACTTCCATCTTGTCAATGTCAAGATTATCCTTGGAAACAACTGTTGAAAATTACCATGAAGTTGTGATGACATATATTGCAATATATTTATTAAATAAAATTTGAAATATAGTAATTGTTTCATAATCAATTTGTACCCCCCAACCCCCCCCTGTCTTTGCCAAAAAAAAAGTTCAGGTTTTCTTTTCGGACCCCACTAGCATCCCTGGATAAACCATTTCAGTGTCATTTTTGTGGACAAGCTTTCACGCAGAGTAGCACTTTGGTGAAACATGAGAGAATTCACACTGGAGAAAAGCCATATACATGTAAGTCCTGTGGTAAGAAATTTCCTAGAAAAAGTGACTGTGGTAGACACGAAAAAATACATGGTGGGAAAAATGTCAAATAAACACTAGTGTGATTGCACTGTTTAATAAAAGATCATCTTAAAACTCAACTAAAGAGACTTGTAATGAAATTTTGTTGCCAAAACCTTTGCAATATGTTGAAAATGTTGTATTACCAAAAACTATTAATTAAAAAAAAATTAATTAAATAACTGACAGAAAGAGAGAGAGAGAAAGAGAAAGACCAGGGATTGGTTGACGATAAGATTAAAGAAAATAGTAAGACTTCAGACTGAAATATTCCATAGCAATAAAAATTGCTATATGACAATTAAACAAACTCCTGGCTTGATTCAATAATTTATTCTTTAAAGATGTCTTTATCTTTACAGCATGTACATTGCTTGACTAATAGAAAATGTGAGAAATTGAAGTTACCCTGTACATTTAGTCAGGCATAATTGCTAATTTCTGAAATATTGAATGAGTACAAATTAATTTCATCAAGAACATGCATCTAAAAAGGTTTTTGTAAGAGTATCCTTTAGACTGTAATAAGTGCATAGAAAAAATCATTAGTTGCTGTTTTGATTAGAGCTCTACAAGAATTAGAATAAGATTGAGCATGTATTACAAAATTAATTAAATTTCATGTCAAATCCACAATGATTATTTAGCTGCACAAATTATTAATATTTGCAACTCTTTAAAATGTTATAGTATCACACAAAAGCTCACTCTATTGTATATGCTTCTTCACTAAGCTAGCTTCTTAAGTGTGAGATTTCATAAGTGTGCAAGCGTGTGTGTGTGTGTGTGTGTGTGTGTGTGTGTGTGAGTTTTAAAGATTTAAAACTGCATACCATCATCAAACATTTAAAAAAATCAGATGACAACTTGACTTAGTTTATCTGGAATGTATAAGAAGCTACTAAAAGCAATACATTGTCATTGTCTTATATAACAAGAAAACATACATAAATATATGTTCAATCTATGCTCACTAACTCTGAAGTATATGGCCAGCACAACCAATATTGTGGAATGTAAAAAAGCAACAAACAGTAGCTGGGCATCTACCAATGTATAGCAAAAACAAAACTTACATAATTCAATCATTAACATACAAACAATCTTTGGTAAATATGAATATGCGCATGCTTTATAATTGTGACCAGTTTAAATGGGCTTGGTAAATGCATTGGCAAGCTTGCATTATTCAGTTCAGCTAGGCTACATACAACCAGTATTGGTGTAAAGTTAAAAATAAGATATTAAATTTATATAATATTGTGGACTTCTTAAAAAAAAAAAAAATTCCACATAAAAGAACCTACAAACATTCCCATCACAGGCATGGGTTGCAAACAGATCTTATGTTTCCTACATTTAAATGCTTATAAAATATATTTGTGGACGGTAAATACAGTGGTGAGGAGGGAATGAGTTTCTGGCTCAGCAGTGCATAAATGATGCATAAAACATGAAAAATATTAATAAGCTGTTTTTAATATAAAATATATCTTCAAAATGTAAACACTTAAAAGATTGTTGTAAGTTACTAAGAATGCATATTTGCTTAAATATATAACTTGTGGACGGTTAAAGACTAGCAAAGATTTTCAACTAAATAAATATAAAGAATGGACAGGTCAACAAAAATTGTGAAGATCCATATGTCACAAAAATTAAATTTATCTCATCTAAAAGAGATTAATAAAAAGGGAGGGTTACACACATAAATCTCTTTGTACTTAATGTTCCCTAGAGTAAAAATAAAAAAAAAAAGTTTGAATATCTTTGTTTTATATACCCTTTTGTATAAAGCAATCATAATAATAACAAATCTCTTTGTATGGTATGTTTCACAGTAAAAACAATATCACTGCATTTGACTGGTGTACCCTGATCCCAAGTTTCAACAGCACCAGTCTTGTACACATTCACTTCAGATTATATGTGGCTGAAAACCCTGCCACTGTATTTATCACTGGGATCTACTAGCCTATTTAGCATGTGGCGTTTCAGCTATTATTGGCTCCTAAAATCCTACAGATGTCAGCACCAAACAGGCACAGAACTTGAGACAATATGGCCGCCATAAGTGTTCTTTTAGGTATCAGATATAAATGGATACAATGTTAGTCAGGAGTGCTATAAATGAGTGTCTGTGAAGACTGTCTGCTCCTTGGTGACACTTACTGGGTGACTGGAGGCGTAGTCATCATCATCAAACTGCCCCTGTGGGGAAAGCAAGGAATAAAATCTTTATCAGTCTGACATACCCATAAGAAGATAGGACATTTGTACTTGCCAATGGTTTGAAAAATTTCAATAAATTATTGGTAGTCGGCATCTTTAATTAGGCATTCCACCTGCTGGTTACAGGCTGCCTCATATTTTAACCAATGAAGATATCAAAAGATCATCCCCCTTTATATCTGCCTCCTCAATCCTCCTCCAACCCCCCCCCCCCCCATCCATTTCCCCGTCCCTTTACTTAAACCACTGAACCCAGCTCATGACACCACATATGGGCTTCCAAGTTCACAGTATTGGTATTCAAAGTGATTACTGTTTCAAATAAGGTCTGATATGCATAT